TCGATGACGTAATAACTGTGTGTTAGATCTCGTAGGGCTGGCGATTCATACCACCCAAGAACTACGTCCATTGCCACCCAGCTACAAAAAAAACGTCATTGTCTGTTTATGAGCAGAAAAGCGGCGAAGCGCTAAGTTAACACTGAAGAACCCTGTCTAAAGAACCATTCGCCCCTACCAAGTCTCCAAAACCACCGTCCAAAAGCAACTTGTGACCATTGTGGAGACAGGACAACACTCAAGAAGACAGTGCCCTGCTTCTCCTTAGCACATCTCGTACCTGTGGCAAAGTAGGTCACTTTGCCAGCGGGTGTCAGTCATCAGACGAAATGATGCCACCCACAGAAGGGAATGTTCGTTATCAGTTTCCCAAGTTCGCACAACATAGCCAGTCCCCTCCAGTTGAAACTGAATCCCGAGTAGGCCCTGCTCTCCGACGATTAGGTTTTTAGGCATTCAGGAGACTCTTCAGCATATATAGACTGTGCATACCTACACAGGATCTGACACAACCTGATTGGATGTTACCTCCTCAAGTCTCTAGGATTAACCACAGACACCCTGAAACACATCTCACAAACTTCGGCCTGCATAAGCCTGATGGATCGCATATGAACTGTACTGTCCTTGATCATTATATGCCAGCATGACGTAGGGTACCGTCACCATAACCAGGGGTGTATAAATGTGTTGAGTCTTACCACGACCTCTGCTGTCTTGGAGCCACACACAACAGCTACAAATTAAATCCCCAAGGACTACCCACGACAATCCCTAGGCAGAAGCATGGTAACGCTTTCCCAGTGAAAACCTGCAAACAAGTTCAATTCAACCTGGAGAGGTAGCAAGAATTGTTACAACTCCCAAGTTTTGCTGATCACCATCAGTGACACCCCAGGAAGGCCACAGGCCAACAGCCAGCTCCACCTCACCCATCACACAGTTCCCGTTACATCCACCAAGAGACCTCCTCATTCTCAGCATCCTCCCCTGATGAAGCGAAGAAGTTTTTTTTTCCTTCTAGAATTTCCAGCCTTTCTCATGACGACGGAAATTGCCGACCGGGTATGAAGCCAAGGAGATGGTTTGGAACCCTATGAGGATCTTCATAAAGGAAAATGCCAAACCAGTTGCAGTGCACACGGCCCCGTGTCATTCCCCTTGCCTTGCGGGATGACGTAATACATGTGGACTCCATGGTGGCTCAGGGCAACATTACTCCCTGCGGTGATGAACCATCACAATGGTGTCACCCCTTATTGGCTGTAGCTAAGCCTAATGGAGGAGTCAGGTCACTGTTGAAACCTCACTAAACTCACCAGTCCACTGCTACGCCCTGGCCCATACCCCTCACCAACGCTCAATGATTGCTGTTTCGTCGTCGTATCTCAACCCTAAGGGCGAGGTACTTTTCCACCTTGGATGCCTTATATGGCTATTGGCAAATACCTAGAAGAGTCAAGATCACCTTAACACATTCATCACCCCTTATGGTCGCTTCCGCTTTTTCGTGGACCCATGGTCTTTGAGCCACAGTGATGAATACTGTCGTCGAGGTGACATAGCACTCGACGGAGTACAACATGTGGAAGGTGGTAGATGACGTCCTTCTATGGGATGAGGACTATGCATCCCACTTAACGAGTACAGGACGTTTCGTATGAGATGCCGTGCCCCTCGCATTACCATGAACGCTGACAGTTTGTACTCGCATGCCCCATAAGTTGTCATTCTGTGGATATACCGTCAGGAAGGAATTGCAGCTGAAGAAGAGAAAGTTCGTGCCATTGCCGAATTCCCAAAGCCAGCTAACCTGACAGACCACTCCGCTCATTATGGGCTTGGTGACCCTTGGCTGAATTCACGACCCTGCAATGCCGAGTCTGCTGATGTTTTACTCCCTCTTATGAGTCCCAAGCGTACCTTCACATGGACTCCTGACCATGATGCGCATTCAGCCGTGTGAAGAAAGCTCTCTTCACACCACCTGTTCCGCCCATTTACGACCAGTACTTCAACACCATACTTTCAACAGATCTATCCCGTTCTCTCTGGTGTAGGCTAATGCACTGTTGCCAAGAACATAAGCCCTGGAGAATGGTGATTAGTGGCATTTGGTTTCCCGGTTTTCTAGCAGATGTGAGACGAAATATGCCCATTGGTTTGGAATGAGTGTCGCTGCATTATGGGCTATGATGAAGTGGCAAATTTACCTGCTTGGTAATTCCCACTTCACCCTGATGACAGACCATAGACCTCTGGTGCCCAATACTTACACTCTTACACATTAGATGCTATTGATAACCCCCCCCACCCCACCGACTCCAACGCCTGAAAAGAAGATAGCAGGTTAGTCTTCACAAGCTACATGGGCGTAAAGGAGTGAACTCTCAATCCAGATGCCTTTCCCGTGCTCCTGTGGATTCATCACCATCGCCTAAGATATCGCTCTTAGTGATGACACACACGTCACTATGTCAGATGTGTAGTCACTCGCGTATGGCCACTCGATCACAGTATCCATGGACAATACCGATAAGTGACTTGGTGCTTGATAAATGGCGACACATCACACGAGGATCCCGGTATATGTCAAGCTCCTTCGACAAAGTGACTCATGGTTTCCCCTGCCACCCTGACAATTTGGACCCGACTATTCCATATTGAAGGGAACGTGAACAATTTTGTACCATGATGAGGACCTCATCCTTTGGGACCCCGCATTGTATTCCTTCTACCCTTCGCCGAGAAGTGTTTGTCTCGCCTACATGACAGTGCACCGTGGCCTGGAGGCCACAAAACGTCTTTCCCCGACAGACGTATGGTGGCCTGGTAAATCAATTCAATATCACAAAAGCAGTCAGATCATGTGAGCCTTGCCAAGTACGTCTGCACAAGTCAGCAACAAGAGAGCCCATGCTGACAGAAGAAGCACCCACCAAACCCTTTTAGTGCTGTTCAGCTGACTTTTTTTTTTCAGTTCACGGGGAAGTCTTTCCTTTTTACGTATGACCGACTCCCAGATGGCTTTGATGCCTGCTGTGGACTGACACTACAGCTGCCGGCACTATAAGTTTTCTTCAAAGATTCTTCCGCGACCTAGGTGTCCCTCTTCGGCTGCGCACTGCATGGTGGCCTCAAGTGTTTGTCGAGCGCGATTTTAATGACTTTCTGTGTCGTGGGGTGTTCGCCATGATACAACCTCACTCTTCCCCATTATCCCATAGTAATGGTCCATGCAGAAGCTGCAGTGAATGCTTTTGAAAACACCTAGTTTTTTGAGGTCGCCCTTCTGGTATCCGACTGAAGCTTTCCGAACCCGTGGATTTGTTGGAACCTCCGTAACACACCAACCACGTCCAGGAATCTGTTCCCCTGCGCAAGTTTTGTTTGGCCATCCCTCTACCTTCCCTGTTTCCAACCCACAGCTCATCTTTTGCTCCAGAATGGCAAGCACGGACAGAAGAGTGTGATCGACCCGTGCACTCATGAGGACACAAGCTGCGAAGGCATTATACGCTCGCATGCCAGACCATTACAGCCATGCAGATTGGATCGCAAGTCCGGATACAGATCCTGTCTCCAGACATGGAATAAAGTGCTGTAGTCATGGGAATTTGGTCGGAGCCGCGACTACCTTCTCCGGACGCACGGCCTTCAGTCCACGTATTTGGGAAATCGTCGATTCCTTCGAGTTGTGCCCATTCCATCTCACGCCCTGGGAGGACGCGTGAGGACGCCCCCGACGCCCAGCCCAGATTCTCCTTGCCCACGTATACGTCGTCAACCCAGAAGTTTATGGCGCCAACGACGTTCTCAACGTATGCATTTATTGCGTATTAATTTTCTTGACGGAAAAAGGACCGAAACAAGGATGAATCCGGTGGGGTGGAAAACTAGAAAAGGAGGGTGAAACTGGAGGGGGTGAGTGAAGTGAGCGGGGAGAGGCTTCCCGTTCATAGCTTATTATTGAGGAGGGGGATCTTTGTGTCTATGTGTTAACATATTAGTACCTGTGTATGGACCATGATAGGGCAACACTGTATTTTGTAGACAGAAGTCCATCGTCACTGTCACCACGGAACGGGACGGATGTACGTCACTTCCGACCCTCGTGTATCTAGTCTCTCTACTGTCAATATATCACCAAAGGATTTACGCGAGTTTATCTATCCCATATGGTACTTATTCTGTGGACATCCCACACCCACACGAGTAACTTTATATAATCAATTATATATATTTATATAAAGTCTTAAACTCTGTTCGCAGGGGTTCTCCTAGGAGCAAAATCTGCTAAAATCTTTCACCAGCATTTCCCTATATCTAAATTTTAAAGAAAATCTGAATTCTAACTACGTACTCACATAAGGCTTTGGAAGTCTCCTCTTTCCTTGCCACATGGGGATCTTAGTCGACTTTTTATGAGTTTAGCTTTGAGTCATGCCCTGTTCGGCACTGCAGGATGGTCAAAGGTAACGATAGCGCAATTTCCATCAGTTTCTTCACTTCTCCAAAAAGGAAAGATCATCTTTATTCGTCTTAGAGTTCACAAGGTTGCAGTTTTCTTTTCCTTCCTTCTCGCTCTCGCCGTGCTTATAACTCTTCAAAATCTTTGACTCTGGGGACTTTTGCAAGGTTGACCTTTCCTACGAATCATGTATCCAGGTCATCTTTGTACGCCATCTATGGCACCTGGATCGTTTTCACATGCTCCGGTGAATCTAATCTTCTGGTCCAAGTAGAAAGACCTGTAGATGGGGGCACTATGACTGTCAACTCGTGTTGAAATTGACGCTGTCACTCAAATCAGGATCTGTAACTTAGCAAAAGAGAAATTCCCTGTAAAACGCGTGTACTGAAAACAACTGTGCATTGATAAACTGCTCATAATCGTAAAATTATCCTCCTGATATCCTGAAAATCCTTTTTTAAGGATAGTGAATTAGATTTCAAAACAGCTAACTTACGATTCTCATAGAACTTAACCCGAAGTGGCCTTAGGATCTAGATGGACAGCCGTACTGGATTTTCTTCATCTCTCCTGGGCAATTTTTACGGATGCGCTCTTCTTTAGCCCCGTCAATGTCAAGGCGTTTGCTTTTCTTGTTGCTTCTGCAAAATTAATTCAAACTTTGCTCGTTTTGCGAGTCGGTGATTGCTGAATTAAGATCTGCAACTCTCTCACATCCTGTAACAACGTGCAAATCCTCTGTCTGAATTGTCCGACCGTTACCATTTGCTGGACAAATAATATAGCTTTAATAACCATGAAAGAAGGAAGGCAAATACAATCTTTATAGGTTCTTAAAAAATTCAAAGCTTTTCAAACTTTCCTCCAATTTCCCAAACGATGTTTAGAAAAACTCTAATGTATTCCTCAATTTTGCCACTACAGTTTCATATAATCATATTTGAAATAATCTTTGCTCGTTTTGCCAGTGCACTCAAGACATCCGATCATAATCAGTTTCAGCAGAAAAATTGCAATGTGACTCTTACTCAGCGCAAAAATGAATTCCAAGTCAATGTTTCTGAGAAGTCCTTTTGCGCTGCATAAATGTTTGGCTTCTGTTTCCCTTCTCGATCACTATTTCCTTCACGTCGCAATGACAGACTCGCTGGTGTGTAAATTTGCTTTGAATTGCTATCGCTCTGCATGCCCTCTTGTATCTGAAATTTTTCAGAACGTATGTTGTTTTTTTTGTTTTTTTTTGGAAGCTTCTGCGTTATTCGACTCCAATTCAAAATCAAATACTTTTGTGGCGATAATTTTTGTTCTGGTTTTGGACGAACATTTCATGGTTTGGGTAGCAGCCTTCACTGAAAACTCAATTTTCTGCAATGTTTCAAAAAAGAGTCCTTTGCAACCTGTTTCTTGGTCATCGAATCAAACACGATGACCAGATTAAG